CGGCGGGCAGAAGAAAACCTCAATGAAGAACCTTACGGGCCTCCAGGATCGATGTCGTGCAGCGGTGGGACATAAACAAGGAACACTTCTCTGTATTATCCACCGGAGGGAGACACTGAGCTAAGAGACCTTTTATAAGAATGATACTGGCTTCAAGAAGGCTTCACCGTGTAAAAGGACGAGTTCACATTGTTCCCGAGGATAAAAGCGGTGTGACAAATTATGAAAAGCGATAAAACGTCCGATTTTCTCATTGTACGTTTGTTGAGATCGTGATTTCATTTCCGTGACTAGCCTATGTACATCTCTATAATATCGAGAACACTGTGTATCACGTATGCAAGTCCAGTAGGACCTGTAGCACTATGTTCACTATTTCACGAACTAGGGAAAGATGTCAAATTATTGTTATATGTTGAATATTGAGATCATTTTAATAGTCAAGAACTTAGGTTGAACGGCGATGGTCCTACAGCACTAGAGACACAGATTCCTGTTTTAAATCCAAATGAGAAGGGATTTAGCTACTGCAAACGTAGCTGTAGCTGCAAAAGATACTGTAATATACTGTAGCGCTAGGTAATACAATAATATAGCGTCTATCGTATTTTCAGTTTTGTATTCTTGTTACATACTATATCAAAAAAGCACTTAAAACAAATGTTGATTGTTTTCCCCACCCCTACCTTTATCATTCACTTTGTCCATGCTCATCCAAGTGTGCGATAAAATCCTTACTTTACGACGAAGACTGTAATCGTATAAAATGACATAGAGCCGTTTTTTTTATTGCACTAAAAGCACCCTTCTGTGATCTTCGACACCCAAAGGCACCGCTTCGCCCTACTGTAGGCAGAAAGCGTGTATTGTCTTACTGGTAGAAAAGGTAACGCCGTCAAAACTCACGCTGGCTTCTCAAGTTCAATGCCAGGGGGGAAAATGAAACCAGGCGCACCGACAGTACGGGGAGGCGCGCCCTCCTTCTTCCCCTGCCTGAACTCCCGGCGCACTCGGTGAACCCGGGTGCTCCTGCGACGCGGCACCGCGCAGCGCTCTGAACTCGCCCGACCTCCCCGGCGCACCGAGGCTCCGCGGTGCGCTGCAGTTCTCGCGGGGGTGAACCCAGGACACGACCTGCCGTGACCTCGGTCAGGGAGCGCAGCGCCTCCGGTGCACTCGGGCGGAGCGAGTGCTCCAGCTGCCGTGTCAAACACAGAGCATGAGAAGCTCCCAGCGGGCAAAGCAGACCCGGCATCGCCCTCCCTCGGTTTTGGACAAAAGGATTTTTGAACACCTTCGCTTTCTTAGCTTGCGCCCTGAAAAACAGTTTTACTTTTGTGCAACGGTCAGATAACGACACTAACCCCGAATTTACAGTTACTACATCGGACTGTAGTAGTTCGGGTGGGTAGCTGCGTCAGCATGCGTAGGCTGCAAAGGATCGAGTGATAGGTTTATTCCATGCTGAAAACAGAAGAAAGAAAACACAGCGTTTCGGCCGTGGAGCCTTCTTCAGGTGTCATACTACTACATCGGACTGTTTAATGTGCAGGATGGCTATCCTTCCAGGAATGGCACATAGTACATAGTGGCTACACTGCGTGTCAACATTATTACGATCTTGTTTGCTCAGGTGGACCGATTTCTTGCAGTAGTTTATCCTTATGCTTACAATCGTTATACATCTAGGAGTTATAGAAGTTTTTCCTTTCTGTTGGTTTTACAACTATATTTTATTAACGATTCAGAACCTGGTTACCGTCGATGTAGCTGCAAAAATAAACGTGTATGCTCTTTTGTCGCTTCGGCAGCTATATCACCCTGCAACTCACAACTGGCAGCCCCACTGGAGCTCAG